GCAAAGAGGTACGTCCCGCCTACTCGACATGTCCGGCTTTATCAACAACTATGGACGTAGGCTCTCGAACGCCAACTCAGCGCTGCTCAAGCTAAGTCTAATGAATTTGAAGACGTGGTGCTTCAGTTCGAGCGAGACAGAGACACGCACACGCGTCAAATGGATGCCTTACGAGCTCATCTGAAAGCGGAAACCAAGAAGCGCTCGCAGTCCGATAAATTAGTCGCCAGTCATGAATCCGAGATCGATCAGCTCAAGGATCTCACCACAAGGCTCAATCAGGAGCTCAAGAAACTGCATGAAGAGCTAACTGCCCGGGAGCAGGAGATGAAGCAGCTAGAAACACGACAAGATAGGATCATCGTAGAGCATGTCCACGTCCTCGAAAAAGCGAAGAAGGTAACCGACTTGCAACTGAAAGACGCGCAAAAGGACCTCGAAGAATACCAAAGCAAGATCCGCTCTCTGGAGAAAGCCAAATTCCGTTTGATGGTCGATACCGAAGACATTATCCGCCAGAATGAGCGGGAGCGCGTTGAATTCAGGAGCAAAGAGAAAGCTGCGAAAGCCCAAGAAGAAAAGCTCTCTCGTGCCCTGCTAGACGCCAAGAAAGCCAAAGATATTGCCGAACTTCAGTCACAGCGCCTTCAAAAGGATGTGCAACATCTTCAAAAGCAAAATACTGAACTCAACGATGCGCTTGCTCAATCGACCAAGACGAAGAGCTCTCTTGAGGGGGAGCTCGACAGGCTAGCGAACGAGCTCGATGCGCCGAACGTCCCCCCACAGGCCCGCAATCGATATGAAAAGCGCATTGCAGAACTCGAAGGCCGGCTTGGACATCCCGAATCAAGACCCCCATCCATGAATAATGGCCCAATTCGAAAGCGAGGAACCATGGGCTCATGAATCTACTTCCATGATCATTCCGCTGCACTCCTGTGCACCCTTGCTGGTGTATGCTCGCCTCCCCTCCAATACGTAACCCGAACTCACAACCTGATCGCATTGGATACGCACTATCCCCACCTGACATCTCCAACCGCAACATACCCTAACGTGTATTCCCGATTGTATTCGTGCTCTTCTACCTTATTACACTGTATATCCATCGCAATATCGGTATTCCTGTGGACTGGCTATATATGATACCCGCGAGTACTAATTGACCCGCAGCATAAATTGCATGATATCGATATTATGACGTGAGATCTGGAATCCTGATCCTCTCTACTGGTCGCACACCATGACTTGCTTGCCATTATAAGCTGGAGCATAAAGTTATCGGTTGATTTGCTGTTTATGTACGACCAAAAGTAGCTCGGTCTTAAGGGGTTTTGGAATGCACAGAGGCTAAGGACGGTAAGGGCGCTGATACTGTGATAACATCATAGTTGGCATGATATAGCTACTCACGATGCGATTGCGCTTCGCAGACCTATAGCTCCCTCTTACCAACCACGACCGCCTACAGCCTGCCCCTCTGCATTTCCTCAATTGTTGAACGCTTCTCGCTGCCCTTGTAATTTGTAATTGTGATCTTCTGTGTGAGGGACTCTAGGATCTCAGCACCGACACTTTCAAACCCTCCAACCCTTCCCTACGTGTCCCCGATGTCTTGGAAACTTGGCCCGAAAAGTGCGTCAACGTTCCAGAGTTCGTCCATCCTCTGAATGCGCCCACAGAACCTAAAGATACCAATGGAATACCCTCGCAATCCATAACGCCTATACCTTCACGTCCGACTACACCTAGACCGTCCAATGGAGGGGATCAGTTTCGTTCCGGGATGCTCACAATTCGTATTTTCTCTGGTGCGGGAAGGCACCCTGATGATTGTGTGCCTCTGCTAACGGATCATCAGGACGGGATCTTGCGCTTCCACCAGGCACTGACCTCCCGGAAGGAATCCGCAGGGCACATGAATCGAGTGCGCCCCGCAAGTCTTCAAGCAACAGAGAGAGTGTGCAACGGAGACGTTACTGGTGGTTGCCTTATGTGGTCCTCGAATTCGACAAAAACGAGATTCTTATTGATGCTTTTGGCGGTGACTTATCAAATCCAGTGTGGAATTACCGTGCAGACTTGTGGGTCGACCCTTTGCCTGTTCCATCGCAGGGATCATAACGCGCACACAGTGATGTTTCCCGTCTTTCTAATATCTGTGTGGCGTCATATCTGCGGACGGCCTCTGTTCAAGGGAAGGATGATATGGGCAACGATATCTTAATGGCCCGCGTCGAGCTTACCCCCATTCTTGATGGTCTCGTAAGGTACCCATCTATTGCCCAACCGCCATATTAACGGTTATCTTTCAAGTATGCTTCTGATCAGTGGTATACTGCCTCCGCTGGCTCTGGATCATTCCACTTGAAAATCGATTTCAAGCCTACGCGGAAGGAGGCACTGACCATTGAAGCGTTTGACCTGTTGAAGGTGATTGGTAAAGGGAGCTTTGGGAAAGTCATGCAAGTACGGAAGAAAGACACCCAACGGGTATATGCCCTCAAAACCATCAGGAAAGCACACATCGCACAGCGTCCTGGAGAAATTACCCATATCCTCGCGGAGCGCACAGTTTTAGCTCTTGTCAACAACCCCTTCATCGTTCCTCTTAAGTTTTCCTTCCAGACTCCGGATAAGCTTTATCTGGTGATGTCATTCGGTGCGTATGGCACGTGGAATTTGGCTTTCACTTACCCTGTGTAGTCAATGGAGGGGAGTTATTCTATCACCTTCAAAGGGAAGGAAAGTTTGATCCAGATCGAAGCCGATTTTATGCTGCAGAGCTGCTCTGCGCACTGGAACATTTGCACGGGTTCAACGTCGTCTATCGGTTGGTCTTTTGCACTTCCACACATCATTCACTACTAATTTCTCGCAGTGACTTGAAACCCGAGAATATCTTACTCGACTACACTGGGCATATCGCGCTTTGTGACTTTGGTCTGCAATTGGGTTTGCTTTGCGCTACCTTGGGCTGATAGCCTTCTTAGGCCTTTGCAAACTCAACATGTCAGAAACAGAAAAGACAAATAGTAAGCTGAAGCTGGGCTCATTCATGCGTGAACTTATCACATACCCAGCATTTTGTGGAACCCCGGAATATATTGCGCCAGAACTACTCGAAAGCCAGGGCTACACGAAGTCCGTGGATTGGTGGACTCTTGGTGTACTCCTCTACGAAATGATGGTGAGCGAGAAAGTGTTACTGCTATCAGATTTATTGAGTCGGTCATAGACCGGCCTGCCTCCTTTCTACGATGAAAACGTGAACACTATGTATCAACGAATTCTTTCAGACCCACTCCATTTCCCCCATGACATTCCTTCCGATGCCAGGAGTATCATGACAGCCCTCCTGCAACGTGACCCCAGCCGTCGACTTGGTGCCAACGGAGCTGAAGAAATCAAGAGACATTCATTCTTTGCGAAGTATATTGACTGGAACAGGTATGGCCCTGTTAACTGAACACCATCCTGGTTACACATCACACATGTAGGTTACTGGCTAGAAAGATTCAGCCGTCGTTCAAGCCCAGTGTGGTATGTGTTGATCATGAAGAGAATCTCGTAATTGACAAACAATATTCCAGGAATCTGTGCTTGATGTTGCAAATTTCGACACAGATTTCACAAATGAAGAAGCCCAAGACTCTGTTGTAGAGGATTCCGCCCTTTCAGAGACCATGCAGGATCAGTTCCGTGGTTTCACTTACAATCCCGCGAACGAACACCTCAGTGAAAGTGTTCATTATGGAGGTGGGATGTAGACCCAATAGGTTCGAACAAGAACTTTAGCTCATAGTCTTTCTGTACGGTTCATTCCTACGAAACATTCGTACAAAATCAATCAACTTAGACTGTGGTACAACAGGAGCGACCGTTGTAAAGGGTATCAAATATGCCATAATGCAAGGTATCCTGACTCTGTCCTCACCATCACCAGGCCTTGCCGTATTGAAGGAATTCACTTCCACGGTTGTACCCGTCCAACTGGATGTGGCGGTTGTATCTTGAAAGTGGCATCTTGAAGACGTGCTTATGACCTTTGGAATTTTCAGACAAGGCGAACCGAGCAGTGAACAGGGTTATGCCACAAACTGATTTCATGTCAAGGCAGGCTGAATTATGGGTAGGGAGTGAAACTTACTGAGCAACCACTCAACCCAAACAAACACCTGCAATGCCTGAAGATTTTTGCACCAAGTCCGAAGGTCAAGGCTGTCTGAGAGAGGTAGGGTGAATATCTGAACTATGGCCAAATACATGAACTCTACCAGCTGGGATCGCGTCACATGCCATAGGAACTTGGTGCCACCGGGAGGTTGAGAAAGCATTGACCGCTAGGTAAACCATGAGTTGGTATGGCAAGAGATACAGGCAACCAAGACGTACCAAGCCAGAAGATTGCTATTATACCAAAGAAACCAATCTCGAATTGGGGGCGACCAGTATAAGACTTTTCCAGCGTCAAGTCGAGAAGAAGCCTATCGAGAGTCAGACGACGACATCGAGTTGAATATGGTCCCCTCACAGAAGAGACAATAAAACCAGGGTCGCGATAGAGAGACCAAAGGGGAACAAGTCCGCCACGACTGGAAGGAAGTCCATGGATTAGGAACCTAAAGAAAGAGCAAGTAGAATGGGTCACTCACAAAAATATTCTTGAAAAGAGTTAACTTGCGTAGAGAGTGCAAGGACAATTATGTTGACGATGTACAGACAAACTAGGGGGTGAATGAGCACTCCCAGGTGCTAATTCGTATCTCGCTCAGTGTCCCGACTCACCATGCGCAGTCACCTGTTTCCTGCCAACTGACGAGAGCATGATGGATAAGTACAAAAAATAAAAAGAATGGCGTATCTAGCTGCTGAGACGGTTCGAACAAGGAAAGCAAAGAAAAGGTGGGGTTTGCTTCGTTACAACCGGAGTTGTTGTTTTGATGGCCGGTATGGAGTTTGTCCTCCGCATAGCAGAGTTGGAAGCAATCAACATGTCTCTGATCGTATAACGGTTAGTACACACGCCTGTCACTGGCGTTCGCTGGAGATCGCGTGAGACCGGGGTTCGACTCCCCGTCAGAGAGCTGCTTTTTATCCCGACGGTCAAGAATTAACGTGACACCGAACGACTTTCTCGTCGAACATCAGAATGTGATTATCGCCGTCCATTCCGCCAGGACCACAACTTCGCCTTTATATTACCGTGGGAAGGTTGATTACCTTCTACTTCTTGGTGGTACACCACCCTAATCACCATGGCTGGGACTGACCAAAATCACCCTCAACCCACTGTTGATCAAGACGAGGACTTGGATGAACTTGACGGCAGGTCCTATCGGTGTGACAGTTCACCTTTGCTCACTATTTGCCTTAGATGTCCTTGATGATTTTAATGCCCCTTCCTCTCCTTCGATAAATCGGGCTCCTGGTAGACCTCGAACGAATACTCGTGTCGATGCGCGTCCGGTGTCCATCCCTGGTTCTGGCCCCAACCCCGGCAGTAGCACCGTAGACCAGACTGCAGAAGTAGACGAAGGCGCTCTCTCCGAAGAATTTGCAAAGGAATTGGCTAAGGGAATGGAAAGCCTCATGCGGGAGCTCGTTTCGGGCACCCAGACGACCGATACGGGTACCGATGATTCGAAAGATCACGTCGGTTCCGCTGACGGAGGCAGATCCTCAGATCTATTAGAGGAGACCTGGAAACGGATGCTACTGGAAGAAGTGAATAGCTTGGGGAGTACAGGAGACGGTACCGAGGCCTCAAACGTTAACGCAACGCCTTCTTCGTCAAATAATTTCCAGGAGAAGATCAAGCAGGCCGCGGAACGTTTGCGCGAGAGCGAGTCTAACCTCAAGGTTTGTCTCCTTACAACCTCACCTCTTTCGCGCTCGATGATAACCTTATATTAGACCGAGAGCTCAAGGAATGCGGGCCCAAATGCCAATTCGATAGAATCGTTATTGGCGTCACTTGGTGACTTAGGTCTGGGTGAAGGTGACGAGGAAACCGAACTGGCCGATTTCCTTGAAAACATGATGGGCCAGCTAATGAGCAAAGACGTCCTGTATGACCCACTACAGGAGTTGTCAAAGAGTGTGAGTGTCGCCTCTCTCTCTTCGTTTGTAACGCTGACTTTTCCGTTTTGTGATAGTTCCCTCCGTATCTTGAAAACCCTCCGAAACCCCTTCAGCCGGAAGACAAGAAGAGATTCGAGTCGCAACTGTCCTGCATACAGAAACTGTTACGGCTATTCGACGAACCGACTTACAACGAGAACGACCCTGCGACAAGTAAGAGAACAGCAGATTTAATGTCTGAGGTATGAGGTGATTTGTCAGTCTGTTTCTTCGCCAATTCTGAGCATTATCTAGCTACAAACGTATGGCCAGCCTCCTGCCGAAATTATGGGGCCTATGCCGGCTCTGGGTGCTGATGGCGTTCCAGAGAAATGCACTATTGCTTAATCATCGCCTTGTCTTGCTACCAGAACAGTCGATGCATCCTAACTAGGGCTTTGGATATTCCATTTATCTTATTCAAACAGGCGTACATTTACAATAAAGTTGAGAGTTGTGTCAGTGAGGTATGAACATGTGTTATGAAGGTATGTATGGTCTAAGGGCCACCAGAAAGGGCGATGATCCTGGCGACACCTTGTTCGGCTGCTGACATTATCGCACCATGCGGATTGCTCATTGGCATTGAAGGGATCTAGGGGCTGTGAGAGGAGGCACAGGAGGGCAACTCGTTTACATACGATGGAAGCCTATGGAGGAAATGAGCAGGTATAACACAAAATGATCACTGCAACTTACGTCGATAACAAATAAGTTGTTCGTGCCGAATACCTTCGTATTTTCGTCAACTACGGCTTTCCCTTGCGTACCGATAATGCACGATCCGACCCAATGATTCGAGTTGAGCGAACCCTAGAAAAATATATCAAGTAACCTGCTGTGAGTGTATACTGTATATCAACTTACGGGGTCATAGTTGTTCACTAGAAGGGTTTTAGGGTCACAACAATGAATAATGGCACACCCCCATATGAACAAAACTTACCGTAGTCGGTGATTGTTGTGGTGTTGTCGGGTGTAATGAGTCTCAGGCCGGATACTGTATGAAGTAATGTTTATAGGGTGACCACCTTCAAAGAATGGACCGTACCATTCTTCATGTTGCTGAGTAGGTCATTAATACCCTGGATAAGAACTTGTTTATCCATAGGATCAGTGAACCATGGCCCAATGAGGGGTCGAGCAGTCAAGGCTGCATCGATACCGATGCGACCTCGCGAAGTAATGCCGGAGGACCTACGAAAATTAACGCAAGAACGACCGCAAATCAGGATATTCCTTACAAGTAGGTAGTGATTGTCAAGATTTGACTGCAAAAGATTAGAACCACCCTCTAGTGATCGTGAAAGAAACTTACCTTGCATTGTATGGGTACGATGTTGTGATAGATGCAGCTCCAGGACGACCCGTTCCTTGAAGCTAGGGAAGGCGCGTGAGTTGAAGCACTTGATTCATAGAACATGCATCGTACCCAGCGAGTTCGACCGTCAGGTGCACCATACGCGCGCCAGAAATTGATCCTGAAAAGTGGCAAGTCAGTGCTGTTGCGAGTAGTGCTTGAAAACAGGAAATGCCTTGGAGATGCCTGTGAGAAGATACCAGACTGCGATTTAAGATACTGCGCCGCATCTGCAGGACGGGGGCTATTCCAGATAGGTGCCCAGTTGTCATAAGCATCAATGTCGGGGTGAGTGAAGACCAACTAAGAGGTTTCCGTTCCGATAAAAGTGTAAGAAATAAGTCCGCTAAATAACTTACGTTGATCGATGGGTTGTCGGATACCTGGGCGAAGCGTCACTAACAGGAAATATCAACTATGAGGTGGAACTCACATTATAGCCGACTGGGAGGTTGATCCATTGGTTGTCGGGTGGGATGAAGCGTCCAGCCTCAGCATGATTTTTCACGATATTGAGCATATCACTCGGCCCGATGCCACTTCGGAAAAGAATGCGAGGAGTGCCAAAAGACCCGGCAGACAGAATAACACGACCGCGCTGGGTCAGTGGGTAGACGCCGTCAACGATGGAGGTGTCATTCGTCTTAACACCCGTGATCTGAGCCCCATTTCGAACCACATTGAGGACGTTGGTGTAAAGCTTGTAGGTGAAGTTAGGCCGAGTTTTGGCGGACCTGAAGTAGGTCGCTACGGGGCCCGCGCGTTTACCACCTTGGAACTAGTATGATCTGTAAGTTTTTTATCATCTCAGAGGAAACGGAGTACAGACGTTGTATGCTGGATACCCGAAGACGTGGTCTTTTTGATCTGGCGCATCATTGATCGTGAGTTGACGGTAGCCTTGTGAAGAGAGAAGTTTCGAGACAACGTTGAATGTCTGCATCAAGTAGCGCTTCCCGTCTGTAGATGGTGCATCCGTGCTTGGAAGGCGCTGTTTCAACTTCTCCGTCCAGGGAGCGTGATTTCCCCAAGAATTGGGCCAACCAGCACCAGGAGAAAAATCTGAGTAAGGCGGAAGCCAGTACAATCTGAATTGCATATGAGTCACGGCAGGAAGGTAAGAATTACCTGTACTCACGCGCCGTTGATGGATGTTCCACCGCCCACTAGACAGCCCGCAAATACGTTGATGTCTTTCACGGGTGTGAGCCTAGAGTTAATATTAAAAAATATACCCTTACCTTTGCACCACCAGAAAGGATTTCCATCGTTGAACATCGACTCTACTAGGGTTTAGGGATCGTTTGATTAACATTCTAGCAAGACTCACCAAACAATCCGGGGACATCGAATTTGGTAAGCTGCTCGGAATGGTCAACAAGCGCGAGCAAGGATACTCGAGGAATGACTTACGTTAGTTCCTGGTGCCCAGGGTGCTATATAATTTCCACCTGTCTCTCCGGTGCTTGGGCCACCACGTTCAAGCAGGAGGACTTTCTTTCCGGTCTCTGACAAGCGGTCAGCGGCCACAAGACCTCCGGCACCGGCACCAACGACGATGTAGTCGTAGGGCGATGGCTGAGATGCTCTATGAGTTTTGGTGTCATTCGGATAGAAACGGGACGTACGACTGCTGTGGCTGTTGGTGTACTAGTGGGAGTTGGTGAATCAGTGGGAGTTGGAGGTGGTCCACCTCCATTTTCTCCCCTCGTCCAACCTTGATAGAGGTCATTCTCAACGTGGGCTACGGTCCAGTCAAGGCCGAAGAAACCAACTGTGCTGACCTTCAGACGTGCTCCTCTATAGCGGTGACAAAACGGCCACTCACAATCGGTGTGTTCTTGGAAGGTACTTTGAGGATCAGTGGGGTTGTCAACAGGTACGGTAGATTGGGCCCAGGCAGGGACACCAAAAGAATCGATAGGTATGTTCTTGGGACCGACAGGCGTATCCCAAGCTAGTCCAATAGATAAGTGAGAGCGCGAAAGATACTTTCGGAGACTCACAAACGCAGTTTTGGCATCGGTAGACCCACTTCCAGTGGGTAGAGTTTATCTTGGTAGATGGTAGCTGTGTCAAGATAGGGCCAGTCATAGCCCTACAACCGATTGAGGATTTGAAAATTTTAACCGTCGCCCCACTCACGTTGGCTGAACATAATCCCTTGGAGGGCGTTAGTCCAAGTCAGCAGCAGTCTGAGGAAACACGTACGTTGCAATGCGAACGGACTGAACGACGGAGCCTTGCCAAGGCCAAGCAACCAGAAGCAAGTTATGCACCATGGCCCCACCTGGGACTGCTCCTACCCACTTGACGTCCACAGGTGCGACAATTTCTCCAATGAACTCAGTAGGGGGAGCCCCACCAACAACAAGGGGGAAGACATAACCAAAGGTTACGCCCTGAGCTGGCTCAGTAAAACCAAAGAAGTGAATACCATTGTCTGGGTCGGTGTATAAACCACCCAGCTGGGCCAGAGCTATGATGCATATTCAGCCAAAGCGCAAGGTCCGACAAAGAAGGACGAACCCGTGCCCAAGAGCGGTAAGAGGGCAAGAGCAGAACGCAATAACATTGTACGCAGAGGGCGAGGATGCAAACCTC